CTTCTTTTTCTACCGGATTTTGCTGAAGACAGTTAAAATGGTGGATTTTCGCTTTTATGTTATGAATTAGGCATTAAAAGAGTCGCATAACTCCTTCTATGAACTTATGCTTCCGTCTAGGAGATCCTTGAACCACGCCTTAGTGGATCCCTTAAGGGTTTGAGCATGATAATAATACATCATGGTATCTATATGCTCATTATGTTTGCACAGATTCCCCATCTCGTCAAAACTCTTAAGCTTTTGGGGCTTTTCAAGAGATATGCAAATCCTGTTTTTCCAGATCCGTCTTGAGAGCAGTTTTCTCTTTTGGCTACAGGATGATGCTTTAGTTCCATGTTGCTCCTCCCATCAGGAATAATGAGATGGTGATGTGTGACTCTCGCCTTTTACTTCATAACCATGAGGCTGAGTCGGGTGTCCTCGACACAGGTTGCAGTCTAATGATCAAGGGGTCGTCATGTGTGGGAAATTAATGTCGACAAGGATAGGCTTTGATTTTCCTACTTGCTCGTCGCACACGAGACGGTCCTAGACACTAAATTGTCAAGAGGGAGAAGTGAGCTACAAGTTTTCTTTGATCCGAAGTACCCTTTCAATAAGGAAGCGTGAATTCAACATTTTTACTAGGCTATGGACGTTGTTCAACATGTCATTCACACCTTGTGCACCTAAATTAGCTTGCAAATGTTGGAGACTATGAAGCATTTCATATCCGACAATTATAGCTTGAAACAAATGTTGCTTCAAACTTTAACTTTGGAACGCTTATAGAAAAGGTTGAAAGAGCCTGAAAGATTTTATATCTAACTGTTTAAGGTGTTATATTTTGCAACGTTGAAATTGTAAAAGTAACTAAGACCTGAGTATTTTCAGTCAGAGGGAGAAATGGAGGCTCCCTTGTAGGATATGGAGTGTCGATTAGGGCAATTAGTGCAACGGTGGTGTTGTGAACAATAGTCAAGCGAATCGCTTTCAATACTACTATGACAGTAGAGCCTGGATAATAATCCTTTTGAGGAAGAGATCAGTATTTTGAAAGGAACAAGACCGTTGATTTGAGATCGTGACAGAGAGATGGTAACTTTATAAAAATTAGAAAAAATCATAAGTCGATTATCACACGCGTGTCCGTTCAATTAGATCCTACAATAAGAAGTAAGTTGGTTGAAATCATATATCCTTGTATGAGATGTGGTCTTACCTATTCTCTGCACACTTCCGTACAATGCTTGTTTATTTATTGAACCGAAAAAAATATCAATGCAAATCATAGCTTTATTAAGATCGCACTATTGTCCAAAATATGCATACTTTGTCATAATGTTTCTTTAAGATAACGTGGATAATTAGGAGCCACAAAAGAAAGTATTAAATTTGTGTGTTGACTTTAAAAATATGCTTTTGGTTATATTCGTTTTCTTTAAACTATACCCAAAAAGTTCAAATTCCATTTCAGGAACATATATGTGGTTTAGTTTTTGGTATGATCAAAAGCAAAAGCAATTTGAGAAGTGTAGAAGTGATTTTAAATGATTTTAAGATGTTTGGTTAGGTAAAAGTAGAATTGATTCTGTCTCTTGAATTGATTCTATTTAAAATTAGAATTTATAATTTCTGCCTCCATAATTGATTCTGGATAATTTTTACACTGAAATTTATTATTCAACTCATTTTTCCATAAATATATCCAAACATAAATCAATTCTGTTAAATTCAATTCTGATAGAATTAATTTTATAAAATTCAATTCTACTAAAATCAATTATATCCACCGTCAATCCAAACACACCCGAAGATTAGTTTCAAAGTAAACAAATTTATCCTGAAAACATATCAAAATAAATCATCTATATGATAAGCTAACCTTTCAACCTCCTTTGCAAACACCAACTTTACAAGAATTACTTAACACTAAAATAACGTTTCTTAATTAGATAGTGTAAACAATCCTTTTGTTTTTCCTTGCTCTTTCAAAAACTCTATAAACAACATTCTATTCTTATGTGGAAATCGTTACAACCTTCTAGTTGTAACCTTAGTGGTTGGTTACCCAATGAATGTACTAAAATTTATATATACTTACTCATGTCACCTACAACAAAAGGGAACTGTAAAAGGTTTTAGCACTTACGGTTAGTTTTTTATCCTTTTCGAAGAAAACAAGTGGCGAAGAAACGCAAACTTTCCTTTGTTCCGGGCAGAAAACTCAGTAATGGCACCATTGCCATTGCTAGTTGAAGCCGCCTCAGGTTCATTGTCGGGTTCTGGCAAGGGAGGAGATAGTGGCGAGAGTGTGAAGAGAAACGCGTTGAGCATCCGGATGATTTGACTAAAGCTTGGTCTCAAGTTTGGATCTTCAACCCAACATGATTGTATGATGAAAGCAAGATCGGGTGATATATCGTCTGGAACTTTCGGCCTCTCTTGCTGCAATCTCAAATGCAAATCATTTCTTGATTAGAAAATAGCAACAATCCAGTGTATATTGATGGATAAACACACGGTGATTTGAAATTTAGTACCTTGAAAGCAGCAGCATAAGCAGCCTGTAAATTGGACATTCCTTCAAAAGGCATGCGATTTGTTAGTAGCTCCCATAAAACAATTCCAAAGCTATACACATCAACCTTGTTGTTATAGTGCTTTTTCTCTCCCTGACGTAACGTTACCGTACTGTACAACTGCAAAAACACAAGCTGTCATAAAAGAATTTGCTAAATGATATATTATAAGCACCGAGATTGTACCCTCTGATTCACATTTTTGGATAGTTATTGATAAAACAATAAAATCACGTTCCAAAGAAAACAGCACACCTCTGGTGCCATCCATCGGTAAGTTCCGGTTTCTGCAGTCATCATTTCGGTCACTGATTCTTCTCTTGCAAGACCAAAATCTGCAAGTTTTACAGACTTCTGATTTGCTGTAAGCAACAGATTGTCTGCATTGTCACAGTTTCAAATAACACTTATTAAGTTTAGAATTCATCGGTAAATACCTCGATCTAGCATTCGGCTATTAATGTCAAAACGAAACACCAACAGACAGTTTATCAAGTGTACATGATAATTAATATGTACTACATATTCATAATCATACCAGGTTTTAGATCTCTATGTATGATCCCGTTAGCATGCAGCCAATCCATGGCTCGGGCGACATCAAGGGCAAAGTTTATAGCCGTGTGAAGGTCTAATGGTTTAGGACGGATGCTCGTCAAATACTTTCGCAGTGACATCCCTGGTAAAAGTTCGGTGACTATCACCATTAGAGGATCCTTGCATGCACCAATAAACTGCGAAAGAATAATCAAAAACAAATTAGTGAGATAGCTATCTTCTATCAGAGAAAATCAACAATCACATGCTAGCACAAAGGAGAATAAACTATAACATACTCACATAGATAGATAGGCTTCAGTAAAATATAACCGCATAAAAATGTTATAAGATAATCGCAGCAATGACATTTACTACCTTTACAAGATTGTCATGGTGGACACGAGACATCATATTAACTTCCCGCGCAAAACGATTTTCAAGCGAAGCTCTTTCTTCTGAGGTGCTCCCACGCTGCAGAACTTTTATAGCAACAATTCGATCTACATATCTGGAAAATTATTAAGTCAGTAGTTCATAAGTAAAATCAATCAACAGCACATAATGTTCTTATTATTGTAGAACCGAGACTCGCCAAATCAGTAGAAAATGAAACACCAACTCAATTAGGGAAATTTGTGACATCTTTTCTTTAACTTTGTGATCCCCATAGGAAAGGGGCTCTGGTAATCAGTAGTTCGGACGGAAGGTAAATAAAACATGGCAAATAATTATCTCAGGATTCAAACTCGACCCGAATGATTAATCCTAAACTGGACCTCATTAACAACTTGAGCTCAAGCACTTGGTTAAAATTTGGGACATTCAGTTATTCACTTCTTGAACTAAAAACCACTCACAATCACTCAGCAAGAAAAAAAAAACAACAACAACAACCAATCCTTATCCCACTAAGTGGAGTCGGTTATCAGAGTCATCTTAAGTTTTTAAAGACCCTGTATAGATTAGTCGGAGTTTAATCATGACAAAACTAATAGAAACCCTATTTAACCACGTATTGACCGTGATAAATATTTTATGAGGCTCTGTTTAGCCACAGTTTTACGGGGACAAATTTTGGGCCATGTGCGGTAGTATGCCTTGCACGGCTCAGTCGGCTACATGGATCAACTCTACCATAATATTCTACCTAGAACCATGTTTGACATAGCAAACAATGACTTGTTATATAACATTAATCCAAAACAACAGCAGAAAGTAAAGAAAATCGAATAATTCATCCATCTAAAGAAGCAAAAATTGTAATCATTAAGAAAAGTATATCATATATAGATAAAAATTCCCATAAAATAGATTATACAACCACTAACCTTCCTTGATAAACTTTTCCATGAGCTCCTTCACCAATTATAGAACCAATAAACAACAATTTCGGATCAACCAGAAGATTCTCATCAATTGTAAACTGTGTAGTACTAGTAGCAGTAGTAGTATCTGTTAACGACCCATTAACCCGAGCCACCGATTTTCCACATTCCGTCTCTTCAACTTCTATCTCCCTCTCTCTAAAACTCATGCTGCAGCGACAACCTTAAACTATACTCCAATTCCTCATTTCAATTGTTTCCCCCAAAAAAAATCTTCAACAACAAAAATGAAACCCAAAAGCATCTTAGAGGTATATAACATGTTGAAATTTCAAACTTTACCAACCAAAACCAATAATAAAAATAATAATAATAATAATAATAATAATAATAATAATAATAATAATAATAAATAAAATAAACAGAAATAGAAACTTTATTACATCATACATGTATTTCTTTTTTTTGTTCCTACCCTAAAAAGTCACTAGCATATGCACCTAGTTTCAATCTCTTGAGATAGAAGCACAAGACCTTTTGGTGCAGTTCAATCTCTAAAAAAAAAAAAAAATTACAAACAGAAAAAGATAACCATAAATATAAAAAGAGAAAAACAAACCATAGAGTTAGTTACACATGTTGGTGAGAAGAATAAAATTGGATGAAGAAGAAAAGAAAAAGGAGAAGATATTATACGGAGTATATTGTTGTTTATGGGTATGTGTGCGTGTGGACTAATAATGGTAATGTGCGTTGAGGGCAAAAAAGAAAAAGAGGGGAGCGAATGAGAAGGTGACACGTGGAGGAGATGGAAAAGAGAAAATTGGCTCAGATGTTTGGGGTTTTGTTTTGTTTTTGGATTTTGGATATGTATCAATGGAATGGGGCACTGGAGTATGTACGGACATGTATACGTGATTTTCTTTTGTTTATTTTGCCTCGTGACAAATATGTATATTAATTTTTTTTATTATAATACAAACAATTATTATGTGCCACTAGATTAAAAATAGAATATTGTTTGGCACTAGTATGGTGGGTAATATTGTTGATGCGTTTATAATTTTCCTTCATTTTTATTGAGTTGAGTTCATCTTTGTTGCTAGACAAAAAAAAAAAAAACTTTTTTTTCATAGAATTTTTATTAAGTTTCTTAATAAAATTTTGTTCATTCACATCCTACCATTAAATGTCAATAGCTATTAAGTCTATAACTATAATTAACATCTAATTTAATTTTAGTGATAGATTAGATTTTTTTTATATTTTTGGTAATTAATGTAGTTGACGTGTCATTACATAATATTTTAATATATTTTTATTTATTTTAAGTAATCATTTTAAACTTAAATTGCTCCACTAAGGAAGCATTAGAAACGTAAATCCAATCTCTTTCTCTTTATTACAGTTCATGCATAGCTTCAGAATAAAAAGAGATACTTTTCAAATGCACACAATCACAACTTTGCATATCCATTTAATTCTATCAATTTTTTGTAAACTCTTAACTGATACAAAAGGGCAATGTCTATTCATTTCAATTCCATAAAATCGGTCTCCCTCCAAGTTTCAAGTTCAATCCAAAAAACGTTGAACGCTTAAATATCATTTTCTGTTTTCTCTGTTTTATTGAGTGTTGATTTTCTGGAATTCAACTTTATGTTATTATTAGATACAACATATGTTGGTATAGTTAAGGCGTATTGAAGTTGTCTAACGTTAATATAAATGTTATTAAATATGTTTGTGTTCTAACCGAAATTTCGTGTTGTTATTAGAGTAAACAAATTGATCAATGGCTCACCCTATTGAAGTTGTCAAGGATATCAATGATTCAAAGGGTTTATGGAAGATAGACGATAAGTATAAACATATGTGGACTGTTATCAGTGCTTCAAACAAAGAATATATTGAGGTAATTTTGGTTGATTCAAAGGTATGGTCATTTGTTCATGAACGTAATAAGTTTTTGCAAATTGTTTACTGTAATTTAATTAATTTATATTCGTTTTTTGTAGTGTGATACGATTCAAGTGATTGTGCCTCCTTTTTTAGTTCTGAAATTCAAGATGCAACTTGCAGTTGGATGTTCTTACATAATGCAAAACTTCAAGGTTTCAAACAATGATTTCTCTTTTAGGTCTACTTACCATAGTTGCAAATTGGTATTCTGTGGATCTACTTTGGTTAAAAAGACAGAACTTCCCGACATTCTTGTAAATCACCTTAACATACTTGGGTTGGATGCAATAATTGAAGGAAGATTCTTCTCTAAAAAAAAAAACTAGCCACCTCACACCTCTTTATTCTCCTTCTATATGTTTTTTTGTTCTCCTTCTTTATGTATGTGAAAACATCTGATTTTCACCATTCCTCAAACACATTTTTCAATCCCTAACCCATTTTTTCATTGACCCATCATTCCCAACAATCACTTCCCTCTTCAAGAAGCTTATTCTAAAGCTTTTGATGTGCTCAAAGTGTGCGGTGCTCTTAATGAGAGTCGATTGGGCCATGAAATCCACCATTGTATCGCAATTATCGGTAGTTAAGATTTTTCATTCTCTGTTCTTGTTGGGAATAGATTTGATTTCCATTGCAGTTTCTAGGGTTATTTTGAGGGTTTGAAATGGAAAGCATGAAGCAAGAAGATGCATCAATTCATTATTGTCATTGGGAGAGTAAAAAAGTTAGATTGTTTGTTTTTCATTTTTAGTTGGATAGATTCTGACTAATATTATTTGCAGGTATATGAGATCGTTGAACTTCTTGAGACACTGTTCTTTATCATTTTGGTTTTAGATGTATCAACTTAATAGTTTAGTTATGAGAACTGTGAAAATAAGTTATTTATTCTTCAATGTTTTTCCCTTTATATTTTTTGTTTTATCTTATCTCTCTTTCCAAATCATATCATAATGAAACTTATACTTGATTGTAGTATACAAGAAACGCTATCCACCTGCATTGGCTGATGAGGTATGGAGATTGGAGAAGATTGGCAAGGACGAATCCTTTAAAAAAGGCTAAATAATGCAATAATATGTTCGGCTGAAGATGGTCTTCAACTTTTGGTTAGAGACCACAAAGATTGCATAGTGTAAGATTCTAGACACTTCTTGTTAAGGGAAATATTTTAAAGTTTGATCAAATGTTCAAATCTATTTGGCTTGGAGTTAACTTTGTAATTTAATATTGTATAAATTCAAGTTTCTTATAAATTCACTATCCTGACGATGCAAGGAATGTTGGTGTTGTTTTTAATAATATCTACAAGTTGAGTGGGTTTTCTTTGCACTTACTGAAAATGTGAACCATCCTTTTAGATTTTTTATTGGGTAAAAGCAGGTATTCATCTTGAACTCCAACTATAAATATTATAGCTATACACTTAAATTGGAGCCCATCAATATTAGTTGTTATGATATACATTCTTTTCTTATAAGAATAGCATGATAATGACTGTTTAAAATATCAACAAAAGAAAAAGTGGAATTTCTAAATAATGTGAGAATCTCTGTTCTTGTAGGTTTATATGGACACATGGGTGAATAAGGCATATGAGAATTGGATGGATGTTATTGAGTATGTTTACAAGTCTCTGTTAAATTACAATCAGAACATGTTCGTGTTCCTACAAAAAAAAACCCTTCAATGGGTGATGGTATAAAAGTTAGAAGTATATAGTTCAATGTAAATAATATATTAGCAACAAAATCAAAAGAATTTTGTATATAGTTCTAAGCGGAGACGAATCCAAATAGTACATATTAATGTGGCTAAATATAAAAGAAATTATGAATTAAATTATATTGAAAAATAAGAAATAATATTGTTCAAAGTAATACATTTATAAGGAAAATCGTTTATCAAATATGAGGGATTAACAAATATAAAAGTGGGAGAGAAACTTGAGAGGTGATGACAGTGTTTCAAAAACTAAATGGACCGGCTAATCGAATCGGGAAATGAAAGGTAATATGTATGATTTGATTCTTGGATCGAATAAGTTATTAAATCAATGAGAGCTGGTCGAAACCGGCCAAAACTAGTCAAAATCAGCAAACTGACGATTTTAGAAAATGATCGAATAATTGCTTGTTTTTTCCTCAGACAAAACGATCCTGTTTTGATAATTTAAAAAAAAAAATAAAAATATAAGTAGAGTTTGTTCATAACTTATTTGGAACAAGTTTTCCTCTTTGAAATTAAATTTATTACACGTTATATTTATTTGTTATTTAGTTTATGTTCCAATTAAACTTTGTTCAAAATTTATTTGATTTGTATTTTTTGTATTATTTTGTTGTTGTGATGATTATGTTTAGAATTTGAAATAAAATAATGAATTTATAAAATTGTGATATTTTGAAATTTGGTAGTGTTGTGATTTTTTTAGAGATCTAGTCATTTTCTTTGACCGGTTTAATAGGTATATAGTTTTGTTATAGAGATAGATTTATTCAATTGAATTATTCTATTTATTCAACTTCATTATTCAAGTTAGTCTAATTTAGTCACGAGGTTCAATCAAATGTCTAATAATTCGACCAATAAACTAATGACATTCCTATTAGACGATCAATCAAAATTTTAAAATATTAAGAAAGAAAAAATGTATTATATATATATATATATATATATATATATATATATATATATATATATATATATATATATATATATATATATATATATATATATATATATATATATATATATATATATATATATATATATATATATATATATATATATATATATATATATATATATATATATATATATATATATAAAAGAAAGGTTAAATATGTTTTTGGCCCCTCTAAATATCTCAAACTTTATTTTTAGTCCTTTTAAAATTTTTCTTCAAAGAATGGTTCCCCTAAAATTTTAAAATTTAACTTTTTGTCTCTCCTGGAATTTAGCGACGATTTTTACAATTTAGCGGCGATTTTAACAATGGTTTTAGCGACGGTTTTTTATTTAGCGACAAAATTAGAGACCATGTTAGCTACGATTTTGTCATGAGGGACCAAAAGTTAAATTTTAAATTTTTAGGAGGACCATTCTTTGAAGGAAAATTTTAGAGGACTAAAAACGAAGTTTGAGATATTTACAGAGACCAAAAACATATTTAACCCATATAAGAAAAAATAAATTTTTTTGGTGTGGCTATAGCCACAGTAATGCCCAAACGTAGGTCCGTCCATGGTTCTAAGTAAATAATATTATAGATTGGATATTTAGTTCTTAATGTTTTAATGGAGGATTTTGAATGATATCGTGGCTTATGAGGGTGAAGATCAACTTTGTATGGTAGATTATGATACAGTGGAAACTTCATTCGTATTCGCCAAGGAAGAATTTCTAGACAACACCTTCACGAATGTTGTTCCTTCCTAGGATTAGGGGGTGTTACCTCTTAACTAAGACAAAAGTTTATGCAGTAAGTATTAAAGATATGTCATTCCCCTTCATGAGTGTCTCTTCTCGCGGACGGGGTTTAGACTCACCTTCAACGACTTTGAGGTTGGGGTCATCAAAAATATGGGAACCACCCTATCATAGTTGAATCATGTGAGCCAAATTGGGTCCCTTTTACTTTGTACCGACAAATTCCTGAAGTTTTGGATACAAAATCACTTTTTGGTAGGAATGGGAACATACATATATCATACCAGTGATTTATATCAAAAGGAGAAGTACCTGAAGACCAAGATCGTGGCTTCTGAGAGGGCCTTGGCTTCATTGGGAGTGTAGGATCTTTTGGTGATAATCCTTCACTATAAAAAAGACGGTATATAGGAACTCATGTACTATTTATAACAACTATTAAAGAAGAGAGGTGAAACATCTTTTGTAAAGGTGGAAATTTCTTGAATCATGTGGATATTTGACATT